AACTGGGGAGTAGATGCTACTGCAGTCAAATGACTGTGGTGTGGATTCTCCTGGATTATCATAGGCTCGGCTGTGGACACTCTTGTAGTCACACAGCTTATGGTATGGACTCTGCTGGGGTCACACCAACTGAAACAGAGACACCTCTCACGACATGCAGAAATGGGTGGACACTCCTATGGTCACAGAATTTGGTGTGGGGACTCCTCTAGTCACACTGAATGGAGGGTCAACAACCTTATGGTCACAGACACTGGGGTGTGGAGACTCTTTTGGTCATACAGGTGGGAGATGTCCTCCCCTGGGTCACCTAGACTGGAGTGTGGACATGCCAGTAGTTACAGGCATGGTATGGACACAGGAGTTTCATACTGCTGTGGTCGCACTGACAGGGTACACTCTCCTGAGGCCACAGAGACTGGCGTGTAGACACATAGTACCAGAGACTGTGGGGTTTGGACACCATTGGGGTCATATACATTCGGAATTGGACAGTGCTTCTGTCATAAAAACTTAGGTTTAGACATTCCTGGAGCCATGAAGATTGGAGAGTGGAAACTCTTGAGGTGGATGGACTGGGGTAAAACCACTTTTGGAATGTCACAGGCTGAGCTGTGGATACTCATGTGGTCACTCAGGTGAAGTGTGGACATTTCTGTGATCACACAGTTTGAGATGCATACTCATGACACCACTGAGACTGTGGTGGGGGAAACTCCTGCGGTCACACACACTAAGCTTTTGCCACTTCTGGACTCACCAACCATGGGGCAGACACTCTCGGTACATTTCTGTGGTCAAACTTTAGGATGTAGACACAGCTGGGGTAAGATCTGCTGGATCCATCTGGGTAAATAGAGACACGGGGGGCGGGGACACATCTGTGGTAACACATTCTAGAGTGTAGACATCCCTTTACTCACATTGTTTGGGATATACACACTCCTGGCACCATGCAGACTGGAGTTTGGCTACTCCTAGAGTTACACAGACTGGAAAATGGACACTCCTGTGGTGAGCGAGCCTGGGGACACAGCCTGAGTGTGGCTACTCCTTGGCCCCACACCAAGTGGAAATTTTGGGAGTTGCAGACTGGGGATTAACACCTTGGTGGTCACAGAGCCTGGGGCATGGAGACTTCTTTGATCATACAGCTTGGGGTGTAAAAACCCTAGAAGTCACACAGCCAAGGGTGTGCCACTCTGGGAACACACAGTCTAGGTAGTGGCCACTCTTGTGGTCACACAAGAAAGTTGATCATCCTGGGGATATGCAGACAGACTATTGTGTGGATGCTTCTGGAGAAACACAGGTTGGTTGTGGGCCCTCCTGGGGTGTGATAAGTCCTGACATTTCATGGCCTGAGGAATGCTCACTCCTAGGGGACACTGATAGGGAAGTATAAAGCCCAGGGTGACAGACTGAGGTGTGAACAATCCTACAGTAATGCAGACTGTTGGTGTGCTCCCCTGAGGACATGCATTGAGGTTTGGAGACTACTGGGGTCACACAGAGGGGGCGGGCACTCCTGTGGTGACAAACACTGACATATGGCCTTTGGTGAGGTCACCCAGACTGGGGTGTGGGCACTGCTGTGGACTGACATATTTGGCAGTGGGCACCCCTGGGGCCAAATAGACTGTAGTTTTCATAACCCTGCTCACAAACTTTGGGATATGGACACTTATGAAATCACCAGACTTTGTTTTGAATACTCCAGGTGTCACACAGACACCACAACTCTTGTGGTGACGCAAATTGTGTTGTAGACACCCCTGGGGTGATGATGACTGAGGTGTGTAACCCCTGGGGTCACACAGACTGGGGAATGGACACCCATTGTTGTCACACAGTTTAAGGAATTGGAAAACTTGTGGTCAAATTGACTGGGGCGTGTACGCTTTTGGGGTGACATGGTCTGGGTTATGGAAAGCCTGGGGTCATGCACGCTGGAGGACAAGCATTGTTGTCATTACAGACTCGGGTGGAAACATTCCAGGAGTCATTTAGACTAAAGTAAGTACTCCACTGGGGACATATGGTCTAAGGTATACATATGTACCTCTGTGGGCAAACTGACTTTGGTGTGGAAAGTTCTAAAGTCACACAGAGGGGTGTGGACACTCCTGGAGTCACAAGACCAGGGCATCCACACTCAGGGCCAGGCAGGTGGAGAGGGGCACTCCTGAGGTCAGAGAGAGCCTGAGCCAGGCTGGTCCCTCCTGGGCCATACACTTGGGGGTGTAGATACTATTGGGTCATGTAGACTGGGGATTAGACATTGCTCTTGTCACAGCAAGTTGTGTGTGTATACTTCTGATGTCACACAGATGGGAGTGGACACAATTAAGGACACATAGCCTGAGGTGAGTACACTCATGGTATCCCAAAGGCTGTGTGTTTATGCTCCTATAGATTTAGATGTGGACATTCCTGGGGCCTCACAGACTGTAGTGTGGATACTGCTGAATTCACATGGTAATGGGCATGGATACTCCTGTGGTCACACAGACTTTTGTGTGGATACTTCTGTCATATATCCCTATGGTCACACTGACTTGGGTGAGAAGAATCCTGGGTCAACCCTCTGCGGCGTGCCCCACTCCCAGGGGTTACAGAGACTTGGTATGGACACCTTCAGGGTGGCCACACAGTCAGGTGCAGAAATACCTAGGGTAACAGACTGGGATGTGGGGAGTCCTGAGGTCACTGGACTGGGGTTTGGACAGAGAACAACAGTTTCTAAAGATATAGGAGTCAGCTGCAGAAACTGGTTCTGCCCGGGTAGCTGGGGACTTTGTCTGCTCTTGTTTGCTAAACGGTAGAAATTCAGGACTGCAGTCAAGGCAGATTTTATGACATTTCTTTAAGAGATGGGTTTTTAGGTCAAAAGCTAAAAGTATCTTCCTTAAGATCAGGAACAAGAGAAGGATGTCTACTTTCACCACTTTTATTCAACATTGTATTAGAAGTCCTAGCCACAGCAATCAGACAAGAAAGAGAAATAAAAGGCCTCCAAATTGGAAAACTGTTAGAACTGATCAATAAATTCAGTAAAGCAACAGGATACAAAATTAATATTCAGAAATTGGTTGCATTTTTATACACCAATAATGAAATATCAGAAAGAGAAATTAAGAAAACAATCCCATTTATAATTACATCAAAAAAATTAAATAAAATACCAAGGAATAAATTTAACTTAGGAAGTAAAAGAACTATACATGGAAAAGTATAAGACATTGAAGAAAGACATTGAAGAATATACAAATAAATGGAAGCATATAATGTGCTCATAGATAGGAAGATTAACATCATTAACATGTCCATACTACCCAAAGCAGTCTATAGATTCAATGCAATCCCTATCAAAACACCAATGGCGTCTACGGCCATGCTACCCTGAACAAGCCCAATCTGTCTGATCTCGGAAGCTAAGCAGGGTCGGGCCTGGTTAGTACTTGGATGGGAGACCACCTAGGAAGACCAGGTACTGTAGGCATAAAAAATAAAAAAAATAAGGGATTGTAAGCTGACAAGGTCCTTGCAAACTGTGAGGTCGACCAAGGGTTGCCTTGCCTAAAAACAACAACAACAAACAAACAAAAAACACCAATGGCATTTTTGACAGAACTAGAACAAATAATCCTAAAATTTATATAGAACCACAAAAGACCCTGAATTGCCACAGCAATCTTGAAAACAAACAAAGCTGGAGGTATCATGCTACCTGATATCAAACTATACTAGAAGGTTATAGTAATCAAAACAGTATGGTACTGGCATAAAAACAGATACATAGATGAATGGGACAAGATTGAGAGCACAGAAATAAACCCACACTTATGTGGTCATTTAATTTCTGACAAAGGAGGCAAGAATATACAATGTAAGGACAGTTTATTCAAGACCTGTGTTGGGAAAACCGGACAAATACATGTAAAAAATTAAACTAAACCACATTATTACACCATATACAAGAATTAAACTCGAAATGGATTAAAGACTTAAATGTTAGACCACAAATCATAAAAATCCTAGAAAAAAACATAGGCGGTAAACTCTCTGACATTGCTGTTAGTAATATTTTTTCTGATACATCTCCTCAGGCAAGGGAAACAAAAGAAAAAATAAACAAATGAGACTATATCAAAATAAAAAGTATTTGCACAGAAAAGGAAACCATCAACAAAACAAAAAGATAAACTAACGATTGGGAGAAGGTGCTATTTTGTATAATTGTAGGATGCTCATTCTCATCGCCTGTAGTTCTCCTGTGTGACTATATCACTATTTAATGACCCATTCTACAGTTGACAGATATTTGGGCTGTGTCTAGTCTGGGGGTATGGCTAGGAACATTCTAGTACTCATTTATTAGGGATGGAATTGCCACATGTGCAGCTTTAGTAGATAATGACTAACAATTTCCCACAGTGGCCGCACCCTTTCGTGCTGCCATTGGCATGTACGAACATTCCAATTGTTGCATTTAGTTTTAGCTTGCATATTCCCGATGAGCAACTTTCCATGTGCTTATTGGCCATTCTGTTTTCTTTACCTTGCTGATTTATAGGAGCTTTTAATTATCAAGGATACTTTATATAGGGATTGTAGATATTTTTTTCCCGCTGTGATTCGCCGTTTCATTATTTAAAGGTGTCTTTTTTCACTTTTTTTTTTAAATGGAAGACCTGGTCTGAACAACCTGCTAAGCCACTGTCAGAAAGGGGTGTCTTCTAACATGAGGTTCTGAGGATGAGAAGTCCTCCAGCACTGACAGGTTTAGCCCAGTCTGCCACAGGCAAACTGGTCTCTCACACCAGGTACAGTTCCATCTCAGGGCCTTTGCATTCGCTATTTCCTCTCCCTGGAATGCTCTCCCCTAGATAAATACATGGATTCCCTCCCTCATCTCCTTCAGTTCTCTGCTCAAAAGTAGCCTCTGTGAGGCCTTCCATGATAACTCTTTTAAAAACTGCACACTGCCACCCCCAGAATTCCTGATTCTCTTCACCTTGCTTTATTGAAATTTTTTTTCACATCCAATATTACTTTTACATACTATATATAAAATATATGTGTACATACACATGCATACATATTACAATGCAAACTGTATAAATACATATTGAAATGCAAGCTATATATGTGTGCGTTTGTGTGGAAACTCCTGCATTCATTCATAGACTGTGTTATTGTTTGTTACCTCTTCCCCGATCTAGAAGCTCTACGAGGGCCAGGATATTTGCCTGTTTTGTTCCCCACTCTACCTCCAAACCTAGAACAACACCCAGAACACAATACGTGCTTAATAAATGTTTACCGAATGCCTCAAAATATGTACCACGTCAAGTGCTTAAAGCAGTTCCTGACAAACAACATCAGGTGCTTAGTTAAGATTTGCTGACTGAAATCTTATTGGTCGATGTAAAAGCATCAAAGGTGAGATTTTACTGATCTTTTTTCTCAAAGGTGCCCTATATTCAAACTCTCAGATAAAAAGGCCAATTTACCTGATGTGTTAAGGCGAACAATTCATTTCACTGTCTTCCACCTACCCAAGAAAAAGAAAAGGGACTCAGATACTTGGCTAAACTTTTCTATTCATTATACTGGGCTTTACCCATTGATTTTTATAGCTATGGATGGGGAGGCAGGGAAGAGAATTTTGGCCCCAGAAACCACGTGATTTGCGGGCAGAAAGAGGCACACTGGGAATGGGGGCATTGGGGGTTCAGAAAAAAGGCACTGCAGGTCTTGGGCCACAGTTCCAGACCTCAGAAGCCAGCATGGTGTGGCGCTGCAGGGCAGCCAGGGGTTGGGGCAATGTATCCACTGTGTTGATGGGGCAGTCCTGGGAGCGGATCTCCTTGGCCAGCCTCCCCTTCTTCTTCAACGTGCAGGCCTCCTGGTATGGTGGCGAGATGGGGGGCTGCGTGGGTGGAGTGTATTTGTACTCTGAGCCATCCTCTAGCTGCAAGGACACGTGGCAGGAAGATGGTTAGGACCTGGGAATCTGGGACAGTGCCCTCCCATCTGCCTACTGTTGGCTGGGCACTCACATCCAGTGGGTAACTGCGGTCCGAATCATAGGAGCTCAGGTCCCCACAGGTCACAAAGGGCACAATGATGCGGGTAGGACCGTCTAATTGGTTGAAATCTGGATCTGACAAGCAGGGAGAAATAAGACAGGACAGGGCTGGGATGCCTGGGACCAGTCATGGCTCGGGCTGCATCATGGGCACCGAGGCCTCTCCTCGTATCCACCAGCTACCTCCTCCACCGGAAATCCTTCATTTCGTTCAGATCACCTTTTCAGGGAGGCCCTCTATGATCACCCCTTCTAAAACATCAGCCCCCCTACTTTTCTGCACTGCACTTTTATGTGCACCTGCCATTCTATCATATACTGCTGGGACCTTGTCTCACTCAGGCGTGCTCGCCATAAGAGCAGGCTCTGTGCCTTTTCCCACTAAGGGCCAGGAGAAAGACCCTCATGGGGCAAAATACCTGTGATCACACTAACTTGGGTAAGAAGACTCCTGTGTTAACACGATGTGATGTTTTTCTACCCCTCTGGGGTTACAGAGACTTGGTATGGGCTTTCTTAGGGTCACACAGCCAGGTGCAGAAACACATAGGGTCACAGACTGGATTGTTGAGAATCCTCAGGTCACTGGATTGGGATATGGACAGAGAACATGAGTTTCTAAAGTTACGGCAATCAGCTGCAGAAGCCAGTTCTGCCCTGGTAGCTGGGGATTTTGCCTGCTCCTGTTTGCTAAACAGTAGGAGTTCAAGACTGCAGTCAAGGCATACTTTCTAATATTTCTTTAAGAGAAGGGATTTATGTATTTATGTATGTATGTATGTATGTATGTATGTATTTATTTAAGTTTATTGGGGTAACATTGGTTAATAGAATTATATAATTTTCAGGTGTACATTGTCATTTGACATCTGTATATTCTATGTGTTTACCACCAAAAGTCCAGTTTCCTTCAGCTACCATATATTTGATCCCCTTTACCCACTTCACCCTCCCCTTACCCCCTTATATATGACCCCCTTTACCCTCTCTACCTCCCCCCTCCTCCTCCACTCCACTAGTAACCACTAAGGAGAAAGGTTTTTAACATAAAAAATTGTTCTATAGAACCCTTTGTCATCTGGTTAAATCTGTGGACCCCTTCACAGAATATTTTAAAAAGCATGCACACTCAAATACTGAGGATTACTATAGAAAGCAATTAAACAGTACAGAGGTTCTTGTAAAGGGGGTCAAATATATGGTGACAGGAGATTTGAGTGGTGAACACACAATGCAATATACATATGATGTATTGTTGAACTGTATACTTGAAACCTATATAATTTTATTAACCAATGTCACCCCAATACATTTAATTAAAAAGAGTTACATAGAACTACCATATGACTCAGCAATCCCACTTCTGGGTATTTATCTGGAGATGAAATCATTATCTCAAAGAGATATCTGCACTCCCATGTTCATGGGAGCATTATTCACAATAGACAAGATATGGAAACAACCCAAGTGTCTGTTGACAGATGAATAAAGAAAACATGGTGTATACATACAACAGAATATTAAAGCTGCGTGTATGCCAATTCTAGTCCTAAGTAATGAGTATTAGAATGTACAGCCATAAAAAAGGAAACCCTGCCATTTGTGACAACATGGTTGGAACTCGAGGGCATTTGCTAAGTGAGGTAAGTCAAAGAAAATACCATATGATCTCACTTACATGTGGAATCTGAAAAAAAATGAACTCAGAGAAACAGAGACCAGATTGGCGGCTGTCAGAGGTGGGGGTAGGGGAAACAGGTGAATGGTTAAAAGGTACAAACTTCCAGTTATAAATAAGTCAGGGGGAGGGAATATATAGCATGGTGACTATAGTTAATAATACTGCATTGTGTATTTGAAAGTTGCTGAGAGTAATCTTAAAAATTCCTATCAGAAGAAAAAAAAAATTTGTATGTGAGATGATGGATGTTAACTTATGTGGTGATCATTTCACAATATATACACATATCGAATCATCATATTATACACTAAACTTATACATCAATTATATCTCAATAAAACTCGAAAATATGACCATCTATATTAAAATGAAACAACATTGGGATGCAGCAATATATGGACTTTTTTATTAGTACATCAAATGATAAAACTCCTATGACTGCAAGTAGTGCCAAATGTGAACAATATTTCAAGATGTCTGCAACAACCATTCCATAAAAATGAACTGATTTGTATTGGCAGAAAGTCACAGGCACTGCTTTAACGATTGTGATTTACTGCCAGCATTCATATTTGGGAGTAAAGTCACTAATATAAATTTCAGTTATATTAGTGAAACTAAAGTGTAATATTTTCCTCCAGCAAGTTCATGGATACTCTTGACTTCTGTCCAGGTTAAGAACCCCTGCCTTCGGAGTAAATTCTGGACATCATCAGGACACCCCTGGAAAGATTTAGAGATGTGGCAAGAACCCCCTTTTCAGTGCAGATGAAATTTCCATGTTTATTTCCTGGCTTTCTTCTTGGTGACTGCAGGTTCCTACTCGGAGCTTGTGAGTTCAGGACCCATTGACGATACAATATTTGAAAAACAAGTTCTGGTTCTCCTGACAGCAAATGGCTTCCGAGTTGTATCAGACTGCCAGCTACTTAAAAGTCAAAGAAGAAGTTTTAAACAAAAACATACTTCCCCACTTTCTTCTACTATAATCATTGTTCACTCAGTTACTAACACTTTTGTGAAGTTTCCCCACTACTTTTATTGTAAACGGTGACATACAAAAAAAAGGTGCATAAAACATTTATGTTCCATTTAATGAGTAATAATGTGCTATTTTGTATAATTGTAGGATGCTCATTCTCATCGCCTGTAGTTCTCCTGTGTGACTATATCACTATTTAATGACCCATTCTACAGTTGACAGATATTTGGGCTGTGTCTAGTCTGGGGGTATGGCTAGGAACATTCTAGTACTCATTTATTAGGGATGGAATTGCCACATGTGCAGCTTTAGTAGATAATGACTAACAATTTCCCACAGTGGCCGCACCCTTTCGTGCTGCCATTGGCATGTACGAACATTCCAATTGTTGCATTTAGGTTTAGCTTGCATA